TTGGCGTTTACCAACTAGATTCCTGTAGCACACTGGCCCCTCCCTCCAATGTCTCCAGACCTTACCAAATGCCCCATGGGGATCAAAATGGCTCCTGAATGAGAACCACTGGTCTAAAGTGAGGTTATTAGGTAAAAGTAAGGAGAGTCATGTTGGAGATTTGGATTGTACAGAGGTTTCAAAAAGTCAACTTGAAGAATGAGAAAGGGAATTTACATATGTGACCAACTACATCTGTATTCTATGGAATTCATATCCTTTTCCTTCCTTCTGAAACATTCTTCATTAATATTCTTTATTTAATATTAGTTCTTGATGTCTCACATTTCTTTGGGTCTTAAATAACTCCAAAGTTCCTCCCAAAGTTTCTACTTTGGGAGACAGTAGTTTATAAAACATATCAAGGGCATAGCAGTTCTCAAAATATGGAAGAAGGAAGGTTTCATAAACTAAGCTCTCTTGATAGTACATCAAATACCTTGGAGGCAAAAGAGTATGTAAAAGCCAAATTCACTAATAGTACTTGAGTGATGTTGTATATTTTACACATATTTGTAGGTTTAAAATAGTAACAGTAATACTCTTATTGCCACAGAATTGGCTAGCAAAAGATCATTACCGAGTAAAAGATGCTATATTTCTTCCCCCCTCCTCCCCCAAAATCCGTGTTGAAAGGGATGCTAAATTTCAATGATTCTTTTGCTTTAAATTACCTTCAGACTTTCTACTTTTAATTTTTTTTTTTTCTGAGATTGGGCTTTTGTCCAATTTTAAAGTTTAACTTTTAAGTGATTCTCAGTGGGGACATAACTACCTTCTGGGGTTGTTTTGGAAATTGGTAGGAATTTACATAGTGTGTAATAAGTAAAAAGGGATAGATGTAATTATTCTCTGGCCCATTGATACATTGTTCTTAATTTGATCATCCTCATCAAAAATCCTTTTACACTTCTGTTTTGATGCAGAAATAATCTCTAAAGAAGCACAGTTCTTAGGAGCTGAAGCTTTGATTATGTACATATTCACTTGGATACTTGAATCATTGATGAAAAAATTTGCAGTCATTGCCTAGAATTTTCCCTAGTGCTTTCCCATTCCATGTGGTAAAAAGTATTTATACTTTATTTCTATATATGGATATTTCTTTCATTGAGAGTACTTCATGGATATCCATCTATACCAGTATAGATCTCATTGTTTTAATGCCTACATGTTATTCTATTTTATGAATGTACAATGTATTTTACCATTTCTCCCTTGGGCATTCTGATTGTTTTCAGTTTCTTTTTTCTTTTTTTAAAAAATATTTTTGGCTGGGCACAGTGGCTCATCCCTTTAATCCTAGCACTTGATCGCTTGAGGCCAGGAGTTTGCGACTGGCCTGAACAAGAGCGAGACCCCTTCTCTGCAAAAAATAAAATTAGCTAGGTGTGGTGGCATGCCTGTAGTCCCAGCTACTTGGGAGGCTGAAGCAGGAGGATCGCTTGAGCCCAGTAGTTTGAGGTTTGTTGATGCCACTGCACTGTAGCCCAGGAGACAGAGCAAAACCCTGTCTCAAAAAAAATAAAAATAAAAAATAAATAAATAACACTACCCCAAATGTTGTTGGGTAAAGGGCTCTTGTATGAAAACCAATAACTGTTACTTGGTACAGGCTGGAAATTACTGGGATAAGGATCAGTAAGTGCTCAGGTTCTCATATAACTTGACATTATGCAAAGAGATAAGCTCTCCTGAAGTGCAGGTCCTTCATAAGAAGGTGCCCCACCCTCCTTTTCTTTTCTCTTCTTATACAGCAAGCGGAAGAGTGGTCTTGCAGGTAGATAAAAACTTTGGACTTGAGTGCAAAGTTGTCCGAACTGAGTAGGTACAAGCTGTTCATTGGGTGCGAGGACATTCCAGTTGCTGAGCACCTGAAGACTCTGGGCCCCTTTGTCTCATGAGTAGTTGAAATTGGTGCAGCTTCTCTTGCGTGGAAAAGGTAGGGCTCACTTGGGCTAGCTTGTTGCCCAGTAAGAGCTCCTGATGTAATTCACTGGACAATACTACCTGTCTTTAAAAAATATCCACGTACTGATATCCATCCTAATTTGTGTGAATAGTTTTAGGATAGATTCTACAAAGTGTCTAGATTATAGGCTGTCTTCCTTACTGTGTAGGAGATGGCTTTTCCTCCACATTTTGACACTATTGGATATGATTGTTTTACATTTTGTCAATAGGTAGGTGAAAGTTACTATAATAATAGATTGACATATTTTATTAGTAAAATGTAATAATTGGAAAATTCCTTATTGTTGGCTTTTTCCAATTTTTTATGGCCCTAGCCTATGTGTTTTTTTCAGATGATTTTTAGAATGAACATGCTAATATACTCCACCCCCTAGAACATTGATATTTTGATTGGCAACATATATTAATTTTAAGATTAATTTGGGGAAGAATAGAATTGGTATTAAATATTTAAAATCTTTACATGTAAAACCATCTACCTCCAACCAACTGAACTTCAACAAAGCAGACAACAACATATACTCGAGAAAGGAAGCCCTACTCAATAAATGGTGCTGGAAAAACTGGATAGCCACATGCAGAAGAATGAAACTGGACCCCCATCTCTTGCCACATACAAAAACTAATTCAAGATCAATAAAAGACTTAAATGTAAGGCATGAAACCATAAAAATTCTAGAAGGAGATATAGAAAAAACTTGTTTCTAGACATTAGCCTAGGCAATGAATTTATGACTAAGACCCCAAAAGCAATTACAGCAACAACGAAAATAAATAAATGGGATTTGATTAAATTAAAAAGCTTCTGCACAGCGAAGGAAATAATCAACAGAGTAAATAGACAACCTATTAGAATGGAAGAAAATATTCACACACTGTATATCCAATAAAGGGCTAATATCCAGAATCTATAAAGTATGCAAACAAATCAAGAAAAAAAACCCATTAAAAAGTGGGCAAATGACATGAATAAAAGTTTTCCAAAAGAAGATAGAAAAATGGCTAAAAAACAGATGAATAAATGCTCAACCTCACTAATCAGCAGGGAGATGCAAATTAAAACCGCAATGAGATATCAACTTACTGTTGTTAGAATGGCCATTATCAAAAAGTCCCAAAACAATAGATGCTGGTGTGCATGCAGAGAAAGGAATGCTTATATACTGTTGGTGGGACTGCACATTAGTTCAACCTCTATGGAAAACAGTATGGAGATTCCTTAAAGAAATAAATACAGACTTACCATTTGACTAAGCAATCCCACTACTGGGAAGTCATTTTATCAAAAAGACTGCTGCACTCAGATGTTTTTTTGCAGCACAATTCAGAATTGAAAAGCAGTTGAATCAGCCTAAGCGCCCATAAATTCATGAGTGGATTAACACAATGCGATGTATACATACCATGGAGTACTACTCAGTCGTAAAAAGGAATGAATTAATGTCTTTTGCAGCAGTTTGGAGGAACTGGAGACCATTATCCTAAGTGAAGTATCTCAGAAATGGAAAAAACAAACACCACATGTGCTCTCTAACAATGTGGAACTAATGGATTGGCACACATGGGCACAGCGAGCAGTAAAAGTCATTGGAAATCAAAAAGTGGGGAGAGAGAATGAGGGGAAGGGAAAAACCTACTTATCAGGTACAATGAACACTATTCGGGTGATGGGCACACTAATTGCCCTGACTTAAGCATCATAAAAGCTATGTAACAAAAACATTTGTAGTTCTTCAATATTTTGAAATAAAAAATAAAATCTTTATATGTGAGAGCAGTTTACTTTCCCTTTATTTTTATATAGTTAACATAAATTTTTTATTTGTCCTATTAAGTTTTTTTATAGTTTTTATTGCTATTAGGAAAATACTGTTTTTATTGTGTGTTGTGTATCAAGGTTTTGCATTTATAGAAGTTTGGATTTTCTACATTTTCTTTTAGGCATTTATCAGCAAGACATTCGTAGATACTCATTGATACAGGTGTTTGTAGGCAAAAAAGGAAAAGAAAAAAAAAGAAAAATCCTAAATCATTTTAAGAGAATTAAATGTTGATATCCTTCCTTAAGAACACTAGTAGTGGGATGTTGGCTTGAGCTTTTCAAGTGTTTGTAAAAAATTTGACCTGTATTCTAATTTGAGTCTTCCTCCTTAATAGCAGTGACAAGTCCCTTAGATTCTGCAGGTTTTATTTTTCACATACACAGTATTTAGAGTTAGACAAAAAGACTTGCCACTGTACCTCAGTTCTAACTCAGTAATGTATAGCTTTTTTCCTGTTTTACAAGATTAATTTGAATTATATTTTCTAAGTTTAGTAATTTAAAGAACACTTGTGTAGGATGAATGCAAAGGAGTATAAATTGACTTTTAGTTTTTTAAAAAATGTACTTTATGCTCAAATGTGTTCTTTCTAAATTGCAAATCAGCTTTGTCCCTCTCTGCATAAAATTCATCGCTATTTTCTATTGCCCTTAGGACACAGTCCAAAATACTTAGCATGACTCACAAGTCTCTCAAACATATGCCCTGCTCCTCCCTCCCTCCACCTGCTTTCTCTTACCTTTCCATGAGCTCTAGTGAATCTAAATTTAGCTTCTTGCAGTTCTTTCAAACATTCCTTGTATGTTCTTTCCTCCCTCCTTCCTTCTTTCTCTCCTTCTCTCCCTCCCTCTCTTCCTGTCTCCATTTCCCTGAGAATGTCCTCTTTCCCTTCAGGTCTCAGTATGGTCATTTTGGGGAAGCCATCCCTGATCTTCAGTCTGAGTTAGGTGTTTTTGTTGTGTTTCCCCAGAACCATATTGTTGTCTTATTTTAGTATTTACATATTGAGATTTGTCTATTATCTGTCTTCTACTTCTTGAAGACATAGACTATACCTTATTTGAGTTGATAGATTTTAGAAATGATATTCAGTCATTAAAGCTTAACTGTAATCGGGCAAATGGATGTTTCATTAATATTTACATTGTTTCCTTTTCATCCTAGGACTGGGCTAATGCTAATGTCAGCAGACAGATTGAGGACACTGTATTATATGGTTACTATAGTAAGTATCCTTCAGTTTCATTTCCTATTTGGGCTGCTAACCAAAATATAGAATAAAACTGTGTATAAACGTTTAATTTTGGTATTACAGATGAGATTACTGTTTTCTACGCTAGCAATAAGTAATAAAGATTCATTATCAAAATCCTGAAACTTCTTTAACCTATTTTGCTTCATTTAGGTTCACTTGTAACACTTCTTTGTGGTGGTTCAATTCAGTTACTTTAAACCTCACCTCTCTCCTTTTGTTACCATTACCAATTTACCACACTTGTGCTCTTGATTTAAAGTCTCAGTTTCTAAAATTTTTTTCTAAGTATCGACAGTAGTAGAATGCACTCTAGGGGAATTTGTACCATCATCTTTATTGTACTCTACAGAGCCATTTTAACCAGGGATAATGTCAGTTGGTCCCTTCTTCCTTCTTTTCTCCTTCCTCTAGTGTTAGATTATAAAAGTTTTATGAAACCATCTAGATGTTTCCAAAATTGTCTTTGAATCAACATGAAACTCATGCTTTTATAAAAATGTATAATTGCTGATTTAGTAAAGGAATGCTTTTTTCCAACAATAAATTAAGATGTTGAATAAGATTTTGGTAGGACATTAAATTGGAAACTGAAAGAAATCTACAGAAGTTTCTATTGATGGGATAATTTTTTCAAGAGTTTTATTGGATTTTAATTTAGCTGCTTTGTCTCTAATCTTTGCCTTTTGTCCTCATGTAAAATCTATAGGACCCATGAAATTCTATTTCTTTGGGGTAGATTTGAGATTTTTATGATATTTTAAAATAGAATTTAATATTTCTGATAAGTACTTTAAATATAATAAAATATAATTTTGACCCATTAAGGTAAAACCTCTGAAGTGGTGCTATATTAAGTAGAATGTTGCCTTTTCAGTATAAATTTATTAAAAAGATGTAAATTACTTCTTCAAAAATAGTTTTGGGGAAGGAGTCTATCACCTGTGTGACACTAAAGTATACTTATCCTATAGAACATGTGACAAGACAAGCCAATTTGTATATTGGTGAAGTCCAAGTCCATGCATATCTTGTCACTGAACCTAGAGACCACTGGACAAATCCATTGTATTATAACTAAAGTCATAAAAGACTTATAAAATGTAATGTTAATTTATGTAGCTTTTTTCACTTGGTTCCATGGAGAGAATTAAACCTATAGCAAAGGTTTTTAGTGAGTATTTTTCTCAGTCCTCCTGAAGATAATGTGTCCTCAATCCTCCCACGGATAATGTGTCCTTAGTATCATCTTAAATGCATAGGAGATAAGTTAATCATTACAAACATTGGATGCTTTCGGGGGCTTATGGCTGGATTCTCTGCAGAATTTAGGTTTTAGTGAGAACTATATATAATTGCCTTGGAATAGGATTGTTGAACACTGATCTAGGGAAGAAATTTGTTTGAAAAGCCAAGTTATGAATAGAACATTTCTTGATGACCATGGAATCAAAACAAAATTTAATTGGATAATATTAAACATCATTGTCATAATGTTAGTCGTGCCTATCTCAGCTATGGCTAATAGGCCTTTAGCTTTGGACTCAGTAGTGACCCACAGCTAGAGCCTGAAATGATTGTGCAGCTTCTGAGATAGGTACTCTCCTCAAGCCCAGCTGTTTCTGCTGAAACTGCCTATTAGATGTCTTCTGGATCTTGGGGACAGCACAGACTCCAAATAATCCAAAATATCATTATCTATCCCTTCTGTCAGATTCTAAGTTCATCCAATCTCTTCTAATGTATCAACACATTTTCATTGTCTAACTTTGCCAGGCATTGTGTAAGACTTTCACATTCAACATTTTATTTAATTTTCATGAATATTTCCCCCCTCTCTCCCTTCATCCTTTTTTTCCTACCTTTTACAGATGAGGAAATTGATGTTGACAGATGTTAAAAATCACTTTGTTAGTGAATGGCATAGCCCAAAGTAGATCTTATTTCCTAAACTGGAGCTTCTTACCATTAAGTGAGCTACCTTTTAATAAATGGTTCTGGGGATGTTACCTATGGGAATTAATCATTGAACCCCCAGAGTATCTTCAGAAATCATCTGGGGACCTTTTAAGTAATACAGAATGCTAAATCATGTCCAGAGATTCTGATTTACTTTGGTGTGATAGGCAGCCTGGGAATCTATTACTGAAAAGTTAAAGGTGCTGATTCTGATTTTAGATGCTTAATTAGTAATAACTTAGAGTAGATTATATATATACTTTCTTTCAAAGAGTTACTGATACAGGGTTTTTCCTATACTAGTCAAATTTTTTCTTTAGGTGCCAATTTAGGTGCTAGTTTAGATGCTAGTTGGTTTTCTACAGAAGAGAAACTGGTCAAAAAGATTTAAACTCTTAAAGCTCTCAAAGTAGTTTTAGTTGTCTTATTCAATGAAGATGTTTAGGATTGTTAACTATTAAATACTTTGAAATTACTGATTGAATTTTATACCCTCACTATCTTTTCATATTCCATTACATTAAAATCCACTGGTCCGTTTGTACTTTGAGTGGATCTTTTACCATGCACAATTTTTGACATTATGATTTATTCATTTGGAAAATATTGGTTCACTGAATAATACAGGTCTTCCAAATGTTGACACATCCATTATACATTGAAAAACCACATTCATTAATATCACCATTATTCTTATCAGAAAAGTCTTTATATATATTGGGAAGCTGTACAACTCAAGGTGGTAGATTTACACTTTCCAAAATTCTAATTTTCTCATGAAAGCTTGGGTTTTTTTCATTGGTAACAAATACTGTCACTTATTTTCCTTTGAAGTGACAGTCTCATTGTTCATTTTTTAAGAAGTCTGCCTGATACTGAAGTCTAGATAACCATTGCTCATCTGTCAGTTCTTAGAAATAAAAGTGGCTAGTGTAGCTTACAACTGAAATAGCCCAAATAGTGCAAATGCCATTGAGACATTGTGAAATACAAGTAAAGTATGGTTTATGTATACTTCCTTTACACGGAATATTAAAAGGATGTATACTTAAATGTGGACATTTAATAGAATTTTTACTGCTTTGAAAGGGACTTCATGAATAAAAGTCTCAAATCTCCCTTCCCCCTGAAGAATACAATGACTGCTAATACAGTTTTGGGTCCACTATCTTGATTCCTTCTAAAGGGCCAGCAGTTTTGTCCAGTGTTGTTTTTGCACCATCAGTTTAAATGTAGATGGAAAGGCAAATAAAATCTTGGTATCGTTATGAAAATAATTTTGATATGTGGATACCCCGAAAGGATCTCTGCAAATTCTAGGGTCTGGGAACCACATTTTTGAAGATCTTCTTTTATATTAATAGAATTTTGGGTGTTTTATCCTCGAAAGTTTGCAGAAGTCAGGCTTACTGCTACTTCTACTTATGGATGCTAATTTGAGAAGAGTATTTGAGACCTTGAAGTCATTTGACTTCTCTGATTTCTCCACCTGTGAAATGGTGATAAAATAGTACCTACTTCGTAGGATTAGGAGTGTGAGACATGCGGTTAGTGCTAAATAGGTGTTATCTGCTGTTGTTTATTCAAATCAGATAGGAGAACAAAAGAAACAAATTTTCTGTTAGTGCAATGATATGGGAAAGTTAATATTGAAAGAATTGACCTAGTTATGTTATCAAATTTCCATCTTTTTTGACACTATTGTTTTGAAAACATCTGTAATAATATATTTCAGTGCTTTTTCAGACAAGATAGACTGGGACTAATTTTGGAGACTTGTTTGATTCTGGTCTGTAAAATACTTGTTGATAACATACTGTTGTGTATTGTCTCCTGCCCCTCCCTCCTGCTGTTTGAAAGAAAGTATTCATAATTACAGGGGTATTTTCTAAGTGGTTTCTGGTCAAGTTTGCTCAAGAGATTGGATAAAGACTCTTTGCAACCTAGTAGCCTAAGAATTTGTTTTCAAGTGGAAATATTAGGAAAACAAGTGATAGCTTGTACTTACAGCTGGTGTGACTTGTATATTCTGTCTCTAAATAAAACTACTGATTTGTCGCATAATATAAACTTTCTTTCACACTCCAGATTTTAGAGAGACGTATGTTCCTTGTTTTTCTTCTTACATCCCTGGTTGTGCCTTTTGAGTTTCCTTTGCCTTTTTTTTTTCCCCTCATCTTACCAACCTTTTTAACACTTCTATGCCCCAGATATTAATCCTTGAACCTATTTTCTATCTCAGTTAATCCTTTGATGATTTTATAGTGTTGCTTGACTCTAAATGTCACCTATATGCCAAACTCCCACATTTAAATCTTTGTACAGAACTCTCTGGAATTTCATATTTTTCATGAATTTCTATCAAGAAATCAAAGACATCTCAAATTTAACATTTCTAAAGGAACTGACCTTCAATTTGTTATACACTGGAAGGATAGAGTTATTCAGGCCAGAAACCTTGGAGTCATCTTTGAATCTTTATTTTTTCACATTTTGTATCAAATGTGGCAGGAAATTCTCTTGTGTTTGATTTTCCAAGTTTATCCAGAATCTGATCACTTCTCACTACCTTCTGGCTACTATCCTGTTTAAGCCACTATTGTCTCTTTCTGGGTTATTACAGGAGCCTCCAAACACGTCTCTTCTCTACACTTGTTTTATTCACAGTACAGAAGTCATAGTGATCCTCTAAAAACATGACAAATTTTTGTTCCTCATCTGCTCAAAACTCTGAAATAGCTTCCTATTTAATTCGCAGTGAAAGACAGTCATTATTACAGCCTACACAGGGCCTTATGTGATCTGGAGTTCTTCCCCATCCTGTAAACCTCTCTGACCTCTGCTACTCTCCTGTGATAGGCAAACTCATAAGATGGCCCGAATGCTCTCTACCTCCTACTATTCACGCCCTTATGTAATCCCTTCCTCTTGACTATGTTCTGGACCTAGTAATTTGCTTCTAACAAAGAGAATGTGGCAAAAATGGGATGTCACTTCTGAGATTAGGTTTTAAA